ACCACTTCCCCTCCTCTCCCAGTGACCAGAGCAGTCCCAGCGCCTTGTGCCAGCTCCACAACGCGACTATCATCATGTTCACTCTCAGACAGCTTGGCATCATCACAGCTGCCCTCTGTCTCTCTCTCTCTCTCTCTTGCTACATGGTGTTTGATATGAAGACAGATCCTCTCACACTGGGTAATACTACAACCCCTAAGTTTCACACATCTTTAAATTGTTACAAACAGGCTCAGCGGTTAGCACTGCTGCCTCACAGCACCAGGGACCTGGGTTCGATTCCACCCTCGGGCAACTGTCTGTCTGGAGTTTGCACATTTTCCCTGTGTTTATTCATTAACAGGATGGCCAGGCAGCATTTATTGTCCATCCCTAATTGCCCAGAGGGAAGTTCAGAGTCAACCACATTGTTGTGGGTCTGGAGTCACATGTAGGCCAGACTAGGTAAGGATGGCAGATTCCTTCCCTAAAGGACACTAGTGAACCAGCTGGGCTTTTCCGACAATTGACAATGTTTAGATCTCTTAATCCCAGATATTTTATTGAATTCAAATTCAACCATCTGCCCCGGAACATTATCTGGATCTCTGGATTAACGGTCCAGTGACAATACCACTAGGCCGATGCCTCTGTGTGTTCCCTCCCACAGTCCAAAGATGTGCAGGTTAGGGTGGATTGGCCGTGCTAAACTGCCCATATTGTCTCAGGAGGGAAATGCAGCGATAGGAGAAGGTATGGGTCTGGATGGGATGCTCTTTGGAGGGTCAGTGTGACTCGATGGGTTGAATGGCCTGCTTCCAAACTGTAGGGATTCTACGATGATCCATGAAAATAATCAGAAAGGCGGCTAATGGAATGCTGGCCTTTCTATATCTAGACAACTGGAGAACAAGAATGTAGAAGTGATGCTGTAGTTATACAGAACCGTGGTTAGACCCCAGTTGCAGCAGATCTGGCGCCACACTTTAGGAAGGTTGGATTGGCCTTGGAACAAGTACAATGTAGGTTTACGAGAATGATATCTGCAGTTCAGGGGTTAAGTTATGGAACATACAAATGAGGCCTGTTTTCTCTAGAATTTAGAAGCTTAAGGGGTGATCTGATTGAAAACTTCAAGATATTAACAGGGGAACGACAAGGTAGATAAAAATAAAGTATTTCCACTGGCTGGGGATTCTAGAACTAGGAGCTAAGTTCAAACCGTTCAGGAGAGATATTAGGAAGCACTTCTACACACCAAAGATTTGGATCTCTCTCCACAAATGGCTGTCGATGCTGGATCAGTTGTTAGTTTTAAATCTAAGACAGATAACACCTGTTGCTTAACAAACATTTAAGGGATATGAGCCAAAGGCAGGTATACAGAGTTAAGCCACAGATCAGCCACCAGCTCATTGAAGGGCAGGAACAGGCTCAATGGACTGAATGGCCTGCTCCAGGTCAGACTAAGACAAGATCAAACTGAGATACTTTCCAGTGAAGCTCTCAATACTCTGGTCTTTCACCTACATCATCACTTTCACAGATGTCTGACCATTACAACATCAGCAGGATAGTGATTGGCCAGTCTACCAGAGAATATACTCCCTGTTACTACACACCACTTCCACCACACAAACAGGCTATTCTGCCCATCTACTCTGTGCTAGTGTTTCTGTTCCTTTTAACCACCGCCTGCCCTTGTCAAACCTGAATGAGATTGTCCTCCCTTTGCTATCGGTGTAACTGGGATTAGCCCAGAGGGCAGGGCCCAGTTAATGGACTGGAGGGTAACAGCCACATTTCAACTGTCAGCCCCCTCCTCGTCTATATGTCTCCCTCCCACCGACAACACTCCATTGGGGCGGGGGGTGGGGGGTGTACTGTTAGAACAGATAGGGCTACAATTCACAAAGAGGTCTCCCCATCCTCATGGAAGCATTTGGTTTCAGGTGGGTCTTTGTGGGCCCTACACACTCACATGCCCCCCCATCCCCCTCGCAGGGGCCCTACACAGTCGCCCACACCCCCCCCCCCCCTCCCTCCCGGGGGCCCTACACACCCGCCCTCGCCCTCCCCCAATCCCCCTCGCGGAGGCCCTACACACTCGCCCACACCCTCCCCCCATCCCCCTCGCAGGGGCCCTACACACGCCCACACCCCCCATCCCCCTCGCGGGGGCCCTACACACTCGCGCGCCCCCCCATCCCCCTCGCGGGACTGTTCAGACGAGGGAGGGTCTTCTGCAAACATTCTGCTCAGATGGACAGGAAACTGCTTTCGACCCCTGACCCTTCTTTTCTGAAACTCTCCCTGACAGCCTTCTTCTCCAACTGCCCCACTCCCCCCCGGGAGCTGCCCCACCCTTCCCCCACCCCGTGCTGGGGATGAAGTGGCCATTTGCTCCTCAAGAGGAAGGTGTGTGTAGGGACTGTAACCAGGTCAGTCAGGTGGAACATTATAGAATATGAGTTCCCTGATTGGGGCTGTTATCCTGGTCCAAACAGGGAGCCCTGGCTGACAGATAAAAACAGGAGGGTGAGAGGTTCTGCTCACTCTGAGAGCTGGCTCTGAGGGAGCTGGGTCAGTGACAAGGGCTCTCCGTGTGTAAATAAACAGTGACTCGGTGATGGGATACCGGTCTCTGTGGAGTTATTGAAACGGTGACTGTGGCCATTCAGCTCCCCCCATGGAACCCCAGCCCCAAGAGATCTATTCCTGGTGACATCATGCAGCATCCCGCAGCATCTGAAGCTGGCGAACAGCATTGACCTGGGACTGCAATCCCAGCCTCACCAAATCAAACAAACACGCCACCCTCCCTCTCAAACCCCCTCCCCTCTCCCGCTTAAAGTGTGAAAATAAACAGAGTTTACCAGGAACACGATGAGGAGCTTCGGGGTGATGCTGTGTATCAAAGTTCCCATCATGATCTTGCTTCGAATTATCTACAGAAGGTTATAAAAACAGAAGAAAGGTAAGTTGTGTTGATGATGTACCGGACCCACATGGTCCAGAAACCATGGTAACCTCCAGCAGAACCTTCTGGCAGGTTCGGCCGGGATCACCATACAGCTTCTCCTGGCCTCAGTACCTCGCCCTCCTAAACCAGGGTCCCATTCCGGAGGCTCATGACCACAATGTGCCCCGATCGTCCCGGGGCCAGTGCCAAGGGAATGCTACATCGCTGTCCCTCTGCCCGATCCACCCAGTGAGCAGTGTTCACAGCTCACTGCCCCCTTCCCCCAACACCCACCCTCCCCCCCCCGCCACCCCCACAACCCCACCGCCCCCTGACTGGGGGAGTGGGAGTGGCGGGAGTTGGGGGAAGGCAAGGGAAGAGCACAAAAGGAACAAATGGGGAAGCAATGGACTGTGGGGGAGGGAGCAAGTGGCATGGGGCGAGGGGGAGGCAGGAGACCAAGGGGAAAGGGGAAGGAGTGGGGGCAGGCGAAGGGGAAAGGGGAGGGAGTGGGGTAAAATAAGGGGGGGGGTGGGGGGGGGGAGCTGGTGGGTGGGGAGAGAACACCGCACTGACAGATAAGGTTAATCTGTCCTGTCAGGTCAAACACAATCCATTAAAGGCATCTTCACCTCGAGAGCAGCGAGTAAATGGGAGTTGTCAAGGTGACAAAGTGGAGATTTCTTTGAGAAATGAGATAAATTTGAAAGGCGGTGGTGGTGGTTGAGGACAGGCTCTGTGCGCGCGTCCTTGTCCTAGCGGGGCCTGAGATTATCCCCCCGAGATGATCAGGAGGGCGACCCCGTGGGAACAGCAGGTGGCCCCTGCCTCATTAACTTATCCCTCAAACATCAGAAGGGACGGAGTGTGTCTGGGTTCATAATCATAACGCAGGGCGTGGGATCTTGCTGTGTGCACTGGGGCTGCCACGTTTCCTGTATTAGAACAGGGACCCCACCTCGAGAAAGGTATTTCATTGACCGCACAGCAGAATATCCTGAGATGGGGCAGGGCGCTGTAGAAATGCAAGTTGTGCACATCTGTAAAATGGGTAGCTGGTTTACTTAGATAGCGAGAACTGCCGATGCTGGAGTCAGAGATAACACAGTGTGGAGCTGGAGGAACGCAGCAGGTCAGGCAGTGTCAGAGGAGCAGGAAAGTTGACGTTTCGGGTCAGGACCCTTCTTCAGGATTTATATCTGATTTACCTACTTGAGTTACCGGCCCCACCAGCTTCTCTGGGATGAGCTGATTTTGGTGATTTTCCAATTTGCCAAAGTGGGATTTGATCCCACTGAGATCATGCTCCATCACTGTCAGGGCTCTGCAGATACACGGGAACACCAGCCCCCGGCTTGTTCCCCTCCGAGCCACTCACCATCCCGGCTTGGAAACATATCGCCGTTCCTTCAGTGTTGCTGGGTCAGAATCCTGGAATTCCCTCCCTGAGGGCATTGTGGGTCTCCCTATGCAGATAAATTGCAGCGGTTCAAGAGGGCAGCTCACCCCCACCTCCTCAGGGGGCAATTAGGGATGATCTTTTCGCCCACATCACAGGGAGTGAATCAATTTGGAAATACAACATACTCTGTTTCCACCAGCACTCTCAATAAACCGGCAAAAATTATATACCTGAAATACTGCCAAGTCTTCTGTATTATTCTGTCCAGTTGTTATAGATTTTTCATTGATTTACCTCAGTGTAAATATACTTGTTGATCAATCGAATGGCCATACAAAATATCAACAATTGATTCAATTTCGAGTCAACTTCTCGTCAAATACTGTGATGTCTGAGGGTGCGAGTGAGAAGGCTCTCTGCTGCTAAGTTTTATTCAAGGTAATGTTGCGTTACTATTTAAATGATTTATGCTGTTACAAGATTATAACACTGACATGTATATCCCCACATCTGTTTCTACATCGATATTGCATACCTCAATTTTTTATTTATTTATTCATTTGTGGGATGTGCCTGTCGCTCGCTGGGTCCAGCATTTATTCCCCGTCCCTAGTTGCCCCCTTGAGAAGGTGGGAGTGAACAGCCTTCTTGAACGGCTGCAGTATATTTGTATAGGGCCACCCACAATGCCCTTAGGGAGGGAATTCCAGGGATTCTGACCCAGCGACACTGAAGGAACGGTGATATATTTCCAAGTCAGGATGGTGAGTGGCTCGGAGGGGAACTTGCAGGGGGTGGTGTTCCCATGTATCTGCTGCCCCTTGTCCTTCTAGATGGAAGTGGTCATGGGTTTGGAGGGTGCTGTCTGAGGATCTTTGGTGAGTTTCTGCAGTGCATCGTGTCGGTGGTACACACTGCTGCTACTGAGTGTCGGTGGTGGAGGGAGTGGGATGTTTGTGGATGTGGTGCCAATCAAGCGGGGGCTGCTTTGTCCTGGATGGTGTTGAGCTTCTTGAGTGTTGTTGGAGCTGCCCCCATCCAGGGCAAGTGGGGAGTATTCCATCACACTCCTGACTGGTACCTTGTAGATGGTGGGACAGGCTTTGGGGAGTCAGGAGGGGGAGGTACTCACTGCAGGATTCCCAGCCTCTGACCTGACTATCCAGGATATTTCAGCAGGTCTGGCAGCATTTGTGAAGGGAAAAAAACAGAGTTAACGTTTTGAGTCCGGTTCTGAGGAAGGGTCACAGGACCCGAAACGTTAACTGCGTTTTTTTGCCTTCACAGATGCTGCCAGACCTGCTGAGCTTTTCCAGCAACTTCTGTTTTTGTTCCTGATTTACAGCATCCGCAGTTCTTTCGGTTTTTATCCAGGATATTTGATCGACAGGCACGCTCCTGATCCGATAGGTGCTGGTTTGCTGTACCCCTTTACCCCCATTCACAAACATCCGAAACACAGTACATAAGCCTCACACACACACATAGAGAGAGCTCTCTCACCAGCTTTTCCCGAGCACCTGGCCAAACAGGCTGACTCTGAGGTATAGCTGTTCTTGTTCCCTCCACAGCCTCCATAGGTGAATCGCTCGCACGCCCGGCTGCCAGGATTGTAATACCAGCGCGGGAAGGACGCTCGGCATTTCCCTGTCACCGCTGGAGCGAAGCAGAAATCTAGGAGAAACAGGAGGGAAGCGTGAGATGCCAGCGAAGGGGCCCGTCCTACAACGGCGTGTGCCCGGTCACCGCGCGGCATGTACAGGGAGCTCGAAGGAGGCGCGTGTTAAGAGATCGGGGTTTGGCGAAGGGCCTCTATCACGTGCCCGTTTTCCAAGGAGGCGCAGTTTCGCGGGAGACTGGAGTCAGGGAGGGGGTGGGGGCTGAAGCAGGGATTGGGGGGAGTCATGACAGAGCAGGGGGTCCGTGGACTAGAATCATCTGTGTGCCTCATGTCCAATTACAGTGCACCCCCCCCCCCCCCCCCCCCCCCACCCCCCAATACTGCCCAAAATCATAAATGGAAAAATCCAAGGAAATTATCAGCAGCAGTTTAGGAATGGGGGAAGTGGGGGTGGGTGGGGGCGAGGGCAGGGAAAGGGGTGGGCAAGAGGTGGGGAGCAGTGAGCGGGGTGAAGAGGTGGGGGAGGGAACCAGCAGGAGAGAAAAAGAAACATAGAAAATCGGTGGAGTAGGCCATTCAGCCCTTCATGCCTGCACCACTATTCAATCTGATCACAGCTGACCATGCAATCTCAGTATCCCATTCCTGCTTTCCCTCCATCCCCCTTGATCCCTTTAGCAAAAGGGACAGGTCCAGCTCCCTTTTGAATATATCTAACGAACTGGGCCCCAACAGCCTCCCGTGGGAGAGAATTTCACAGGTTCCCCACTCCCTGGGTGAAGACATTTCTCCTCATCTTAGTCCCAAAGGCCTGCCCTGTATCTTTGGACTGTGACCCCAGGTTCTGGACTTCTGGAATCCTCCTTGCATTCACCTTGTCTAGTGCTGTTAGAATTTTATACATTTCTAAAGATTCCACCTCCCTCATTCTGCTAAACTCTGGTGAATATTGTCTTCGCTGTTCCAGTGTCTCCTCGTACGTCAGTCCTGCCATCCCAAGAATCAGGCTGGTAAACCTCTACCGCTAGAACATCCTACCTCAGAAAAGGAGACCAAAACTGCACACAATATTCCAGGTGTGCTCTCACTAAGGCCTTGTATAACTGCAACAACACATCCCTGTTCCTGCACTCGAAACCTCTCGCAATGAAGGCCAACATACTATTTACGTTCTTCACCATCTACTGCACCTGCATGCTTACCTTCAGCGACTGGTGCACCAGGACACCCAGGTCCCACTGCACACTCCCCTCTCCCAATTTACAGCCATTCAGGTAGTTATATGCCTTCCTGTATTTACCACCAAAGTGTATTACCTCACACTGATCCACGTTACACCGCATCTGCCCACTCACTCAGCCTGTCCAAATCACACTGCAACATCTCTGCATCCCTCCCCACAGCTCACCCACCCACCCAACCACACATCTTTGTGTCATCTGCAAATTTTGAGATGTTACATTTAGATCCAGTCATACAGCATGGAAACAGACCCTTCGGTCCGACTCATCCATGCTAACCAGATATCCCAAATTAATCTAGACCCATTTGCCAGCATTTGGCCCGTATCCCTCCAAACCCTTCCTATTCATATACCCATCCAGATGCCTTTTAAATGTTGTCATTGTACCAGCCTCCACCACTTCCTCTGGCAGCTCATTCCACACACACACCACCCTCTGTGCGAAAAAGTAGCCCCTCAGGTCCCTTTTGAATCTTTCTCCTCTCGCCTTAAAAATATGCCCCTCTAGTTTTGAAATCTCCCCACCCTAGGGGAAAGACACCTGCCATTCATCTTATTTATATCCCTCATGATTTTATAAACCTCTGTAAGGTCACCCCTCAACTTCCTAAGCTCCAGTGAAAGAATGTCCCAGCCTATCCAGCCTCTCCCTACAACTCAAACCCTCCATTCTTGGCAACATCCTGGTAAATCTTTTCTGACCCCTCTCCAGTTTAATAATATCCTTCCTAATAACAAGGAGACCAGAACTGCACACAGTGCTCCAGAAGAGGCCTCACCAACGTCCTGTACAACCTCTACATAACGTCCCTCAGCTAAATTATTATTGTGAGTAGCCAGAGTCCAAACACAGATCACTGTGGGACCCCATTGGTTACTGTTTTCCACTTCGAAAATTACCCAGTTATTTCTCTCCGTTTCCTCTTTTCCAGCCAGTTATGTACCCATATCCATACACTGCCCCCAATCCCATTGGCTTTAAAATCCCACATAACAGCTTGGTGTGTAAAATTATGGAAAATCTTCTTAAAGTCTAAACAAACCACAGCTGGTGCCCCCCCCACCCAACAAATACAGATTAACCACCGATTCTCCTGCCCATCCCCGGGAGCATCCTGGTGAATCCTGCCTTACACCTTATGGAACGCCTTCCCAATCTTTTCCCAAGAGATCCACCAGCTCCTCCAACAGGAATCCAGACTGAAAGGATAGGGACTTGGGGAATCTCACCATCACCTGCACCAGACGCTCTGCAAAGGCAGGAGGGAACGTCGTGGGAAATGCGTGCAGGGACCCCAGGACAAGGGTAGGCGGAGGGACGGGGTTAACAGCACGAGGCGAAGGGATCTTTAGTGGCTGAGAGGGGATCTGCAGAGGTCTGGCTGAGGGGATCAGTGATGGCACAGAGTGTTTCACTGGGAAATAAAATGGGCGCAGAGGCCAGCAACCTCATCCTGAGCTGCCTAGAGGTCAAAAGCAAAGCTCTACAGCATCCCAGCCATGCCAAACAAAGCAGAAAACAGGCTGGGATCTGGAGATCCTGTAGATCCCACAGAGCACTCGGCTATCTCCAGAACCAGGCTAGCCTCTGAGAAAGAGACAACAAGGTGTGGAGCTGGATGAACACAGCAGGCCAAGCAGCATCATAGGAGCAGGAAAGCTGACGTTTCGGGCCTAGACCCTTCTTCAGAAATGCTCGGAGAAACTCGGGTTTAACAGTGAGTTACCAGTGGGACCTGTCCTACCTCGGTCATCCATCTTGCTTTGGTGTTTTTGGGGCTCAGGCAGACGCTCTGTAAAAACAGAAAAACAACATTAGACCAGCTCGCAGCAATAACTGCAGTATATAGTGCCTTCGATGTCGTGAAATCCAAATAATTGCTTGGTAGCTTGCTCAAAGACAGACATGACCATTGCCTTGCACTCATCAGGACACTTGCAAGAATGCTAAAATTTCAGTGGGAACAACAATTTACACAGCACAGGTCCGGTTTCCTTTTCTAACGTGGCACCCTTCCTGCAATAGGCAGGTCACAAAACATCTTACAGGATCATTATCAAACAAAACGCCCCGTCATGGAGATCAGGACAGATAGCCGAACGTTTGGTCAGAACAGATAGATCTTCAGGGAGCATCACAAAAAAAAGGGGGCAAAGAGATGGAGAGGTTGAGGAAAGGACTCCAGATAAGGTCCTAGGCAGCTGTCAGTATGATATAAACTGAGGGGATCCCAAGAAGCTAGCTTCGGAACAGTACAGGTGTCTCAGAGGGGTTAGGGTCTGGAGGATGTTATAGAGATGGGGAGCGGTGTAGGGGCTGGAGGAGATGGCACAGATAGGGAGGGGGTGTAGGGGCTGGAATAGGTGATAGGGATAGGGAGGGGGTGTAGGGGGCTGGAGGAGGTAACAGAGATAGGGAGGGGTGTAGGAGCTGGAGGGTGTGATAGAGATAGGGAGGGGGTGTAGGGGCTGGAGGAGTTGACAGGGATAGAGAGGGGGTGTAGTGGGTGGAGGAGATGGCAGAGATAGGGAGGGGCGTAAGGGGCTGGAGCAGGTGGCACAGATAGGGAGGGGGTGCAGGGGGCTGGAAGAGGTGAAAGGGATAGGGAGGGGGTGTAGGGGCTGGAGGAGCTGGCACAGATAGGGAGGGGGTGTAGGAGCTGGAGGAGGTGGCACAGATAGGGAGGGGGTGTAGGGGCTGGAGGAGGTGGCACAGATAGGGAGGGGGTGTAGGGGCTGGAGGAGCTGGCACAGATAGGGAGGGGGTGTAGAGGCTGGAGGAGGTGGCACAGATAGGGAGGGGGTGTAGGGGCTGGAAGAGGTGACAGGGATAGGGAGGGGGTGTAGGGGCTGGAGGAGGTGACAGAGCTAGGGAGGGGGTGTAGGGGCTGGAGGAGGTGGCAGAGATGAGGAGGGTGAGACCATGGAGAAATCTGAACACAAAGAAATTCAAAATTCTTGAAAGGCGTTGCTGGTCCAGAAGCTGGTGCCAGTCGGAGAGAGCAGGGGTGAGGGGCGAATGGGATGTGGTGGGAGTGGCGACAATGCAGCTGAAGATGATGTGTCAGGGTTAATGAGAGAGTGGAAGACAGTAAGACGGCCAAGAGACAACTGGAAAAACTGAAGAGAGGACACAGTGCGAGGGTTCCTGTAGCTGACAAGCTGAGTTCAGGGAAGATGCACAGACAGATGGTACTGACCCTTCAGACCAGCACATGCCACTAGGCACTGGTGTTCACTGACAAAGTTATTCCTGTTCCCCTTGCAGCCTCCATAGATGAACTCCTGGCAGGTCTGTGACTCTAGATCATAGTACCAACGGGGAAAACTTGCACGGCAGCGGCCAACCTTCTTAGGGGCAGTGCATCGCTCTGCCAGACAGATGGCACAACAACATTAACATCAACCGCACCCCGCAAACCCAAAGGGAGGGGCAAGGCCTCACTGTCAGGATGGGAGGTTTGAGATACACATGGAGGAGAAGGGGGCAGAGACAGACAGAGGGCGGGGGAGAGCCGGAGACGGACAGAGGGCGGGGGAGAG